GAATGTGTCAACTATCGAGGGATTAAGCTTATGAGTCACACCATGAAACTTTGGGAGCGAGTGATTGAGCAAAGACTTCGAAGAACTGTGCAGATTTCAGAGAATCAATTCGGTTTTATGCCTGGTCGCTCAACAACTGAGGTCATTCACCTTCTTCGGCAACTTATGGAGAAGTATAGAGACGCTCGTAAGGATCTGCATTTGGTGTTCATTGACTTAGAAAAGGCATTTGATAGGGTACCTCGAGAAGTTTTTTGGTGTGCCTTAACTAGAAAAGGCATATCACGCAAGTATACCAGCAGCATCATGGATATGTATGAGGATTGTATTACAAGTGTCCGTACTAGTGTAGGGAGGACTGAAGAGTTCCCTATTACTATCGGAGTGCACCAAGGATCAGCTCCGAGTCCTTTCTTATTTGTCATAATCATGGATGAACTTACGAAGCCAATTCACGACACAATCAGGTCTTAAAGCAAAGTTGAAAGTATGGCGACAAACATTGGAGAATAAGGGTTTCAAACTAAGTCGGAGCAAGACAGAGTACATGGAGTGCAAGTTTGGTGGATGTAGAAGCAGTGGTAATAGCGGAATTACTCTGGATGGTAAGGAGATACCAGTCAGTGATATGTTTCGTTACTTGGGCTCCATAATTCAAAAGAACGGTGAGTTAGATGAAGATGTATCTCATACAATCAGAACAGGGTGGATGAAGTGGAAGAGTGCGTCAGAATTTCTATGCGATCAAGGTATGCTGACTAGGCTGAAGGGTAAATTTTATAGGACAACAATTAGGCCTGCATTACTGTACGGCGTAGAGTGTTGGACGGTGAAACAATGTCACATTCAAAAGATGAGTGTGTTAGAGATGCGCATGCTGCGTTGGATGTGTGGGCATACTAGGAAGGACCGCGTGAGGAATGAGATAATCAGACAAATGGTGGGAGTAGCACATATTGAAGACAAGATGCGGGAGTCGCGCCTACGGTGGTTTGGTCATGTGCGTAGAAGATCGAGTGATGCACCTGTCAGACGAGTTGAGATGTGTGGAGAAGAGGCAGGGAAGAGAGGGAGAGGAAGACCCAAACAGACGTGGGTTAGGAGAGTTCGAAGTGATATGCTTCTTCTAGGGTTTGATGAGGGCATGACTTTGGAGAGAGCCAAGTGGAAGGCGGGTATTCGTGTGGAGGAGTGATCTCGTATCATCTTTTCCCCTATATATATATATAGGGGATGGTTCAAGTGAGAATGGTCTCTCAGGAGAGAAATGAGAACAAAATCCATCCATGAAATATATGATATCAACGATCAAGATTGAGCTAAATCGGTGGTGATACTTTGTAATTAAGTGGACTTTTTATGGGTAATATTAACCATATTAGTGATCGTATTAATGTTGATGACAAGTTGGTAAATCACTTGCTAATATAAAGCAACGTGTCCCTTAAAAGTAGCTAGTGTGGAATCGTTTTTTATTTTATTTTCACCATCCATGATGGAAATTTCCATATAAAAGGGAACATGCACGATGCACACCCTAAAAAATTGGATTCTTAAATTGCTTTCCATTAAAAGCTTCTTATTTGAATTTTACGTAGTGCTAGAATAATATATCAACTTAATTAGCACGCATGACGTAATTAATTATTTAGTAGATGCAAAATTATTTATATAGTTATTGCATTTTATTATACTGTATTATTAAATTGGCACTTTCCATAACTTTAAACTACACTTTACCTATAGAATTGTGCACACTCATTTATATTTTAAATAAAAATAAATATAAATATATGAGTGTAAACTATCAACTATTAGGTGCATTTTAAACATATATAAAAGTGCCCTAGTACATCTCAGCTGAAGTATTAGGAGTATTACATTGGCACTCCTTTATAGAATGAAATGCACTTTTATAACATACAATTTAAATACATTCAAAAGTGCACCATTATATCAAACTTTCTAAAATGAAGTGCATTATTTTACTCCGAAAGTGCATAAATATGCACTCTTCCCTATTATGCACTAAAAAGTTGATGTAATTTTGCTATGCTAATCTGCACTATTATTATACTAGTCTGCACTTTGTGAATTGCACTTTTTCTAATCAAAATCATTAAAAGAAATGAAAATAAATAAACACGGGTGTAAAAACTAAAAGGGTATATATACTATCATCTGCATTTAAGTATATATAAAAGTGCATTACTATATCACACTTTCTAAACTTTTACATGGCACTTTTTACCCAAAATGAATGTGCACTTTAAACATGTGCATCTAAACATATATAGAAGTGCATTATTCTCTCACACTTTCAAAAATATTTACATAGACATTGTGGTGCAGTTATGATACTAATAAGGTGCAAGATATATAGTTGTGTTAGTGTAATTTTTAATAATATCTAGAGCATAAATAATATATGAAAATGCATTTAAACATAAAATAGAAGATATATTTAAATATAAGGCGATAAAATGATCAAGTTTTTTAACAAAATATGAAAATAGGCGTCTTCCTCGGTGACATGCACGAAACTTGAGAATAATGAAGTTAAGAAAGAATAAATAGGGATAAAGGAAATTATTTTGATTGAATAAGTAAATGAAAAGTAATTTGATAAAGAATTCTCATGAGAACCTATTTGCAAAATTTTAAGGAAGTAACGGTGTAGGTTTAATTTGATGTCAAATTCTCTTATTTACCCTTAATGATTTATTAAAGAACTTCAAGATCGGATGGCTATAAATCATTCTTATTTCTCTCCTAAGATGATTATCTCACTTGAACCTAAACCTATATATATATATATAAGCATTATTTGTATCCTTTTTATTTTATCATTTTTATGTATATTCATCTCTTTTTATATTTCTTTTTATCATAGCTTATCTTTTTTATCTTTATTTTCTTTCTTTTTCTTTTGGCGGTGATATCATGTATCGATTCATGTTAGCCGACCCCAATATCTTTTGGGACTAAGGCTTGGATGTTGTTGTTATTGTTTAGTTTAGTTTGTGATGTACTAGTCAAAATTATTTTGTAGGATGTAATTTGTATCTTGTGTGTATTTTGTTGTAAGTACCAAAAGGAATGTAAGAGAGTATTATATGCACCAAAAGAAGGCAAGGATAAACATAAATATAAGCGCTGGAACAAAACCCAATCGAGTTGGATCAAAACCCGGTCAGGTTGGAAGTGACATCGAAAGCTACCAGGAAGCTACTCACCGAAACCCGTCGGGTTTGTACTCAACATGGTCAGGTTTGAGTTGACACAAGACAATCGAACATGGCAAATAACAAGACATCATGGAAACTCTGATTTGATACGTAACCCGGTCGGGTTTAGCTTTAATCTGATCAGGTTGGATGTGATTTCAGCAGCTTCTGAGTTCTGACTACATAAGGTACCCGATCAGGTACACTAAATACCCCATTAGGTATTTGGCTCTGCCACCTCCAAACACCTATAAATACACCCATTTTCCTTCCCATTTAGACATATCTTCTTCCTTATACTTAAGCTCGGTTTAAAATAGTTGTTTTCTTTATATTTTCTCGCATGTTTAGTCTTCAAAATCCAAATGAGGAGCTAAACTCCTATTTCTTGATTTTCTCTTGAAGCTTGTTGAATGTTAAAGTTGTGAGTTATTTTCGAAAGTTCTTCCCTTGAATATTAATTCTTCCCTTAGCTTACCTCTATATTAAGGTTGGGGTGATGCTAAGTGATGATTAGTTAACATCTTGACATTAATTACTACTTGAACCGATCAATGAACCAATTGTTAATCATTTCTGGTTTCATAGATAAGTAATTTCAGATTATTAATGCATGGTATCTTGGTTGGTAAACTTAAGAGAGATTAATTGTGTTGGTTAAACTGAAACCGTTGTGTTGAGGTTATCAATCTCAATTGATATCATCAATGAGTCAAGAGATTAAATGCTACTATCAAGTCGGTATATGGCGGTATTTTATACTTGATTAATAGTAAGGATTGTTAATGAACAGTCTCGCTATTAATAACTACCATCGATGAATTAGAGATTTTCCATGATTGAGTATTCGAGAGAGGACAAGTTAAACATTTCAACAAGTGAAAAGTAGCAAAACCAAGTCTTTTATCTCATTAATTTAAATCACATAAATCGTTCATCTTAGTATTAAAATATTCTCAAGTGAAACCATCTTAAACCCCCCTTTGTTACAAGTTCATGAAAGGGAAATACACATCTCCATGTAGATAAGATCTCTACTTCACTATACTACGCATTAGTGTTAGTATTCAATTTATTTTGAGGCACATAAAGATTTTAGTGTTGTCAACTTCAACGCAAGGTGAGACAATACTTCTATTTAGCTGAATTTGCAACAACTTTTCAATTGAAATACTAAAAAGTATTACAAACATTGTTAATTGTATTACTTTCTCACTGAGGCTATATCAAATTTTCAAATGAGACCAACCTTCACCCAATGATCCTAGTTTACTCACACTGGCATAGCTGGGGAGAGGGGTCAACCCAGGCAACCAGACCCGGGCCCACCTCAAGTTTGAAATAAAGTAAATTAATGTGTAAAAAATTCTAAACGTTTTTATGGATACATCATAATACTGAACCAGTTCAAATTTGGATTTAGGGAGGCCCTCCCTCTGCTATGGTTAGCAATACTTATGACATCAATTTGATCATAACTTTCAGACAAATGGGACTATAGTTAAGAGTCACACAATGAAACATTAAAGAGAGATGCATGGGTTTATAAGACTTAGTTATACTAGACAACCAATTGGATTCAATCTTTGAATAAGATTTGACTACCCAGTTTAGTGACTCTGGCCCAACTATGAAATCTATCAAATATTGTGTGTGCATTTGGATAATAAGGAAATAATGCTCGGAAAGTATCGATCATGGCATAACTAGTTTATACAGATTGCTAGTAAACCAGAAGTATGCTTCAAATGTAAATTATGATCTTCATCATACCGTTGGAGATTTGAATGGATACTCAGATGGGAATGTTATGTCAAGGAAATATATTCCGCCATCATAAGGTGTCCCTATGAAAAAAGGGCAGGGTTCAACTAAGATGTACTAACAACAGCTTTTTGTCATATGATGAAAAATGTTTTACAATAAAAGGGAATGAACCTTATCTGTCACTACTTCATATGCGATCTTATTTCATCAAAGAATTAAACTTTACAAAATCTAAAAGGTACGGGTGTTATTTTAGCAGAACTCTTATAGGATTAAATATTTTCTCAGGTAGAATTAACAGTGGCAATCACTTGCAATAAGTGACAAAACACAGTTTAGGCATCATTTATGCAATGTCTATTTCCAAAATCTACATAAGCTAAATATCTCCTTTTAACCCCGACCAATCCACACTTAGGGTGGGATAATGCAGAACAATTTCAGTTTAAAAAGGTAAAACAAATTAAGAAAAAACTCATCTGTATTCCTGAAAACCCCTAAACTGGGAGTGTGACATGAGGAGTTTGAACATATAGCTCCTCCACCTTCTCTCCCAATAAAACAAGGAACATTCCTCAGTTTCCTCCCGTGTCCAAGTTCTTGTTTGGTTTGAGGAATTTGGAGGGAAGGAGGGAAGATTGATTTTTAGACTAGAAATATCTATATGATTAATTAGACTATGAATTTGTATATACCTTGTCATTTCCACTTTATATTTGACCTTTTTCATTTAGAAATAATTTGTAAAAATAATATCACCCATCCCTTCCGAAATCCTTGAGCCAATTAAACCCTACAGGCCCTCCAAGACTCCAAAAAAACCGAGGCTTAGATCTAGTACCACATAAAACCCGTCTAGGCATTACAACTTATTACAATATGGTTTTTGTAGCCTAGGAGTTAGGCCAGTCAAACAGCAAACATTTACAACTGTCCCCGATTCTATCTCCATCTGGATCAAGTTTTTCCCCACTTAGGTCCGCCTAATTTCAGTAGGATGTAGTCGAACCCTGCAGCCTAAAACATTTTAAAAACCATTGCCCTTTGCGTGACCGTTAATGGCAAAGCAGAAGAAAAAGGTTTCCTTTTCCAAAGACGTTTTCTTTCGGAAAATGATGAAACAAGTGGTTAGATATTAACACTTCGTTTAAAGGGATGCGATTCCTGCTTCAAACCATATGCTTCCATTTGGCACTACCAGTCATATAAATGTGAAAGAGAGAAAGAGATACCAGGGGGGCCGAAGAGAGTGGCGACCCAATGGTAAAGATTATCCCCTTTGGGGCCAGCGGCACAGTCGGGCAGAGGCTCCCAGCTAAGCTCCGTCATCTCTTTCTGGATTCGTTTTCCGGAAGCGGAAACTGATGTCGTGGACGGCCACGACCGCCCTTCGCCGCCGCTGCCCCCTCTTCCGCATCCAGAGGTGGCTCCTCCGACCCCAAACATTTGACCGAGTAATGACTAGTTTACCTGTCATTGTATGCAGGCCGGTCCACAGAAAATGGAGTTAATAAAATTTGGTCTTTTTTCAAGTGAGTAAATTAAGGGGTATTTGGAACTGATTCTGCTTCTGCTTCTTTTTTAAAACAGAATCAGAATCAGAATCAGTTTTCGGAAGCTGGTATCCCTCAGCTTCTAAAAACAATGATTCTAGGAGTAAATTAGAGCACCAAATCACTTCTGCATTTTCACCTATGTAGCACCGATACCGGTACGCGGAATCGCGGAAACGCGGACACGGGTACGGGGATACGTCAAAACAAAAAAAAAGTAGGATACGGATACGGGGCCATATTTATAAATATTAAAAGTTATGGGGGTGTATTTACAAATATTAAAAGTTACAGGGATGTATTTATAAATATTAAAAATAGATTTTTTTTTGGAAATATATACATATAATATCCTATGAAATATACAAAAATAATAATTTTTTGGATATATATATCCTATATATACATATATACCCATTCATTACATATACATCATAATATTTCTCATATACACTAGTCATCTCGAAATATAAATGTAGACATGTAGTCGATAAGTCATTAATTTAAAATGAGAAATAAGTCAAACAACTACAATCTTGAAATTAAAAGTGCAAGTACCAAAGTTCTAGAATAATTAAGATAGAAAACAATATTTTAAAAACATATACTGCTTAGAAGCTCGTGATAAAAGACGAAGATTGTTATGAACAAATACCAAATCCTCTGCTCGTTTTGGAAGCAGTTTGTTTCTTCTAAATGAATTAATAAAAGAATAAGAACTCCAATTCCTTCTGAGCATGATGATGAAGTAGGTTGTCCTAGTATTTTGAAAGCTAATTTTTGAAGAAAAGGTGCATTAGAACCAAAGCATGCCCACCACTTCTTAGGTTCCATGTAATATCTCCTTGCAATAGATTCAGGATCCTCAAATTTTGGGTTTTTTTTATTCAAAAAAGTTGATACGGGTATCCGTCAGGATACGAGTATCGGAAACTTTCAAAAAATTAAAAAAAAAAATAGAAACTTTTAAAAATTATAGATACGGCCCGGGAACGTACGGTACGGGTATCCTAGAGTATCGGATACGGGAACGTATCCGATACGCCAATACGCTACCCTAGGGAAGTATCCGTGCTTCATAGATTTTCACCCAAACATTCCAACTTCTGCTTCTGCTCCCTCAGGGAGCAGAAGCGGTTTTAAGAATTAGATCCAAACACCCCCTAAGTTAAAATATCACTTTCTTAAATTTATGGAATTGTTGTTAAACATATTTACACTTTTTTTTTTTTGAAAAAAAGGGAATTCCCGAAATAGGAGTAAAAAAATTTGAAAATTTCAAAATACGACTGACATGTTTTGATTTTTAAAATAAACAGTAATTATTGCCAAGTTTGGAAAATACTACCATGTTTAAAGTCTGGTACTGTCAAAACTTGGCAGTAATTAGTCCTATTTTGAGAATTAAAAACTGATAGTCCTATTTTGAAATATACAAACGTTTTAGTCCTATTTTGGGTAATTTCTAAAAAAAACACATTTACACATTAATTATCAATTCAACTAATTATTTACTTTAATTGCAAAAAATGAGCAAATAACAACAATGCAACAATTCAACAAACATTAAATCTAAAAATATGAAAATAAACAAATTAGAACAATTTGACTATTCAACAATTCAACAAACAATTTAACAATTCAACAATTCAATAATTCAACAAACAATTTAACAATTCAACAATTCAATAATTCAATAATTCACAATAATTAGCAAATTAAACAAATCGGAAAAGCTGAAAATCAGAAACTGACCGGACTGTGGAGCAGTGGAGGCGGACTGGCGGAGCGTGGTGGGCGGTGTGGTGGGCGGTGGCGGGCCTGGCGTTGGTGCGAGGCTTCATCGGTCCTCCTTCGTTGGTGCGACTTGCGAGTCTGAGCCTTCATTCCGTCGTTCCAGTCTCCAAGCTGCCTTCTGATTTCTCGTTCCAATTGCTGAATTGCACAAATATGGGTCGCGGATAGCTTGAAGTTGGGCGCTATAAGGTTTGTAAATTTGGGTTGAAGTAATACTAATAGTTTTTCTTTTGCCCTACAAAATTTTGGGCCCTGTGCGGTTGGACTGGGTAGCCATGCCCTGGGCCGTCCCTGTTGTAAGTACGGATCTACACTCGCACGCACACGTTCCACAATCCTTACGGTTATCTTGATCACACTCCAGAGTTATTTTAAGTTAATCTTATATGACATTTTGTTGGGAGATTGGAATTCCATATTTCCATCTTAACTCATTGCTTGGAGTTGGACCACCTCTTTCCTCCCTTGTGAGTTGTGAAATTCTCTTCCTACTTCCCGTGCACGGTGAGTCGGAACACATTCCATCCCCTTTCTAGCGATTCTACCCTCTGTAGTATTTCCTCCTATTTTTTTTTTTGAAGTTTTCTGGGATAGCGCAAAACGGAGTTGGCGGGTCCGAAAATGGAGGTTCTGGACAATGTTAGAACATTTCGGAGTTCACTCCTCCGAATTCGTATGTGCCGTGCTGATTTATTTTGTTTGGCCTTAATTTGGTTGCTGAATTTTTCACTTCTCATGTGTTTTATATTTATTTTTTTTTAAAAGAATTTTTTTGTATTTGTTATAAATCATAAGTTATTCAACTTAAGTAAAAATTGTACAATATTGTTCATGAATACGCGTTTTACAAAAAGTTGACCCATTCAATTAAATAAGCACACCTTTTACAAAATTGACCCAATAAATATTTTGAACACAAATAGTGAACCCGAATAATAAAAACCTAACCATTAAAAAATGTGAACCCAAAAAATAACAAAGTACATCGATTAAAAGTATCAATATACTTAATTGATGGATAGTCTACTCGGGGGTATATATCTGAGGGGTTATTGCTGAGAATAACTTAGAGAGAAGTCAGAGCATAAGTAAGTAAGAGAGGGAGTGTATTCAGTATGAATGTCGTGGTTTACAACGGGGAAAAGGGGGTGCTATTTATAGTAGCAATAAATGCCGGACAGGGACACGTGTCAAGCATCCATTGGCCGAGAGGTCACCTCATCCGGTTGGCGCTGGCAACCGCATGTGGCCGCATTTAATGCGGCTGTTGGATGGGACGTTGTACAGGGTACGGCGATCTGTACGCGCGTGAAGAGGAGATCTTGTCGAGTGAGGTGCCTTCGGCTATAGAGCAGTAGCCGAGGGCTCCTCAAACCGAGGGCACCCTGGTGCCGAGGGCTCCTAGTGCCGAGGGCTACTGTTCTCGCCGTTTTCTCCCAGTTTCTTAGTTTGCTTGAGAAACCCGTTCTGTGAGAGTTTAGAGCCTTCGGCCAGGGGGCCGAAGGCACCCCTGGTGCGTATTGCGGGCTGCTTGGTACTCTGGGCGCTGTGATTTGGGCCTGTTGGGCCTCCTGGGCCTGTTGGGCCTCCTGGGCTTGTTGGGCCTTTACTGGAGTGGTAGGAGTCTGTGGGCCGGGGGTTCCCGTGCCATATACTCCATCATTAATCAATGTGACGAGTTTTAAAAACAGTTGACCCATTCAGCATTATTAACTTGAAAATAATTACAAATACAGTTTACAATATCACGTGTTTAATAATAAGTGACCCATTAAGTCATATGAACTCAAAATTAAACAAAGTTCATAACATATTAAAAGTACATTTGAAACATATGGCTAATAAAAGTGTTACAACATTAAAACAAACTACAAAGAAAAGAAATAATACACCATAAGAGAGTACAAATGTGAATCATTCATGTTGTGCTCTGCGTCTTGGACGCATATCCATCTCATTTGGAAATCTGGTTTCTTGACGGCGTCCTACTCGAGAAGTTCTGGAAGAGTATTTAGGCAGCAGAAGAATGAACTCATTTTGTGGCCACTCATTCAGATTCGGCAATGGCATGATATCACTGGAATGTGCATTTATGTAAGAACTTAGTTTGTATACCTCTCGAATAAGATGATCAACAGGGCACTTAAGAAAATGGCAGACAGCATGCGCATGGACGCATGGCATGCCGTTCATCCTCCAACAACCGCACTCACAGACAAGCCTCGATAGATTCACCGTAACAGGTGTTTCATTATCCACGGCGACTGAGTAAATTCCTGTGTAGTGGTTGTGTGGAAGAACCATAGTGTGAGGTCTTGTTTGTTTTGTTGGTGAGAAAGTGTGAGAGGAGGATAGGAGATGTTGGTGGGTGTGAAAGTGTGGAGGATGAGCAGTATTTATGCCGAAAATGTTATCACGGTAGAATCCGACGGACCAATGAAAACGCTCAGAAATCCTATCTTCTGCATTCGGAGTTGTCAGCTCCGAAAATGGCTGACATTTTCTGACGCCAACGCTTTCGGAGTTGTCAGATCCGAAAAGATTTAAAGCTGCTGTCGACCACTTCAAATTCGGAGTACTGAACTCCGTTTTACTCTTTTTCGTCAAAAAAATACATCAACGCGATTCAGAAACATCTGCTCAATTTCTACTCTGTTCCGTCATTTCCCCTTAGAAAGGACTAGAACGCAACCGGTTGAATAGAAACATTAGTTTTGGCAACGTTTCACTCGAGTCAATTTTTTCCTATTTAAGCTCAATTCAGCTCTCCTTCCAAACACAGCTACTTTTAGAATAATTAACTGAATTTAAAGAATTTTAGTCCCTTTTGAGATTAAGTGACATGACAAGCATAGAAAAATTTTCTAGAGTATGACTAAAACTCAATGAGTTTCCCAATCTATGATCTAACTAGTTTTTAGATTTTGGTATGACCGAAAATAAATAAAAAAAGAAATCTTGTTTATAATAAAGGTTGAATGACGAAAATACCCTAATTTAAAATATGTGCATTTTGCACTAATTTCGTCAAATTATAATTATTGCACTTTATACTGCTTTTACTGCACGACATTAATGCACGACTTTACGGCATATCCGGTAATTATCAATGCACTTCTGC